CAGTTTACTTCCCTATTACCCAGACTCTCCAGCCATTGCATCCCAAGTACCACGTCTGTACTCCCTAATTCCAAAGGCAAGAAATCTTCAACTATAGTCAAACCCTGCAATTCCAAAACCACACCCTTACAAATTCCCATCCTTTTCACTGACTTGCCCATTCCCATAACCATCCCATAATTCGTTGTTGCTGTGGTTGGAACTCCCAACTTCTGGACAACATCCACTAATATAAAATTGTGGGTTGCTCCACAGTCGATTAGCACTGTTATTATACTGGAGCCTACCTTCCCCTTCAACTTCATGGTGCCTGGGGTAGTTAGACCAACCACCGAATTTAATGATTGTTCTACCTTGTCTGCCACTTCGAAGGGTTGTGCCGCCTCTGAATCATCAATTGCTTCTTCGTCATCCTCCCCTTCAACCAACAAAACCCGTAGCTCGCGATTCTTGCACTGGTCACCCATGGTAAATTTTTCATCACACCAGAAACAAAGCCCTTTGTCGCGGCTCATCCGCCATTCCACGTCCGACATATGCCTGGTTGGATGTTCTCGCCGGTCGCCGACCGACTTTTCTCCCACCATGACAGTTTTGATATGGAAAGTCGTCTCTAGCTTCTGGCGATTTGGGAGTAATTAGGGGATTCTGTGGGCTGCTGATGTAACGACCAATTTTTTTTTTTTTTTTCAATTTAAGTTGCTACCAACTTTATTATAAAAGGGTCAAATTCATTGGAAACCACATGATTCATAAATTTTAAATTATCATCTGGCACATTCTAGAAATCTAATCTGCTAGGAGTAAATAAGTGTATTTCGACGTGTTCATGGCCAACTAAACATTTTAATTAAAGAATTTTAACTAACATGTGACAAAAGATAAGAATACTATTAAAAACTTATTTTCATTGAGAAAATCCAAACACGTTACATCACATGTCTATGAGAGTTAATCATTTACTACTTTGAAATGAATTTGCCAGTAAGGAAATATTCAATTATTATTAAACAGTGACATTGGTGTAAGAAATAATATTTAATTCGAACAGTATTATAAAATGAAATGACATTTGTGCGTATTTGACATCTTTTATACTAGCATGGTTAGTGAATATGGGTTATGAATATTATTATCATAAAATCCAATTCAAAGTACCAATAAATATTACAACCCCATTGCATAAAGTTAAGTACGGTAGGCAGACAATTGAAAATGTGGTGTGACAAGTACAGAATCATTGCTTTGACCATGCATGTTATAAATCTTGAAAAGGCTGTAGATGCCTCAGAAAAGTACAAAAAGTCTTTGACGTGAACTTGACAGTTAATCAATTTTCTTTTAAGCATTAAAATCGATAAAAGCTGTAACATATAGTTTGAACTTTATTTAAAATGAATTAAACAAAAAAACATCCATGTAGCAAATAAACATAAATGATAACTTAATCTTTAAAATAGGATGTCTATGGCAAGGAACTAAAATTACTTGTTAAAGTTATAAATTTTCGTCCAGCAAATGAGGTACAACCACTCCATCGAACCACCACGCTCCGACAGGACCTGATCTAACCTGTGAGGTGTAGGAAAAGGGCGAGTACATGGAAATACTTAGTAGGATATCAGATTAATGGTGCGATCCCGAATAATAATTTTAAGACGTGTGTCAGAATATCATACCATCGCATAACTTTAAATCCGGTAAGAGCTCACAGCATATCATGTCATTTCATTTCATTTTACTGGAATGGCCATATCATTCATATCATAGCATTCATATTATAACTTTAACTTTCACGAGTATAAAATTTGTCACCATGTAGCCAAAATAATTAAACGAAAATAAAAAAAAATACTGCACCTCATATCCTACCTTGTTAAACTGCTTAAATTTTGGAAGTCAAAATAAGGTTCACGCTTCAACAATTTCTTGAAATACGAAAACCCAAAATCACGTTGCCTTGCTGTGCAATAATATTATAGTGAAGTGAATGAAAGCTATTGTTTTCATATGATATAATAAAAATATCTATAGAAAATGAGGAAACGTGTTGTGGAGATGTTAGTGCCCGAGGCCCATGAGCGAGCCTGTTAGCTGAGGTCGGGGTGCGTGGCGGTGAGCGAATATTTGTTTAAGGCAGATATGCGTCTTCCTCTGCACCCCTTCTTCAGGGCTGTGCTGAGGAATTTTATGTTGTTGTCGACCCAGGTTCTACCAAATGGGTGGAGTCAGTTGGTCGGCTCGTACTTCCTGTGGAAGGAAGTGTCGCTTGGGGAGGACATGCCTCTCCACGTCTTCATGACCCTATTCCAGCCTAGGATAATAGGTAAGGAGTCCAAGGGGTGGTATTACTTGACTCCCTGGGGGGGCCCATGCACCTTTTCTGGTGGAGTTGCCTTCTTTCATAAAGGGGTGGAAGGAGTCGTGATTCTGGGTGAGAGACAGGTGGCAGGCGGTGGAGGGAGACAAAGCCCTGTCTTGCACAGTACCGACCCAGTACTATGAAACTCGTGAGTCTCCCAGCCTAAGTAGTTTGCATTCCGTTTTCAGCTTTAATTTTTCTCTAACTGTTGAGGCCTCATTTGCAGATTGCAGTATGAGGTTCGAGCTGAGCAGGGAGGAGTTTGCAGTGATAGAGGATATTTACAAGAGACCTCTGAAGTTTCGCCACTTCGATCACCTCATCGATAGAAAACGCTATTTCCTGGACTTCGAACCGATGGCCTCTAAGGGTATGAAGCTCCCACACTTGTATATGTTTTGGTGTTTTCGTTTTAGTACTGACGCGCTGTGTTCTACAGATAAGTTTAAGAGGAAGGAGTACCCAGCCCCTGACATGGCGTCCATACCGAGGGCAACTTCCACTGTGAAGGCGAGGCCCCTGAAACTGGGGTCAAGTGGTGCGAAGGAGGTCCGAGGTAGAGTTGAACGTCTCTCCAAGGACAGCACCTCGCGGGATTCCGAAGAGGGGACCCCCTAGAGGTAAGAAAAGGCCATAGAGCCTCGAGGGAAGGAGAAAGTCCCAGAGGAGCCGAAGAAGAGGAAGCTGGTGCACATCTCCAGCTCGTCTGGCAAATTTGGGAGTTTTGTGTCCCAAGGCAAAGAAGCCGGACCGCCGAATCTACTGAAAGCCGCCTCGAAAGCGGTTAAGATTGAAATGGTCAGGCGTGCAGAGGCTGATGAGGCGAGGGAGGAGGCTGCAAGGAGGCAAGTTGAGGTGGCTGAGGAGGAGGCTGCCAAGGAGAAACCTATTCGAGTACAAGGCAAGTCTCCGAGCTTCCTTGCTGGCAGGGAGGAGCCTCTGGCCCTAGCTTTGGTGGAGACCCTGCCACCTGAGATCTGAGGCGCCGCAGAAAGTTTTTATAGTCTCTGGACGGATCGGTGGTAGCTGCACGCCTCCTCCTATGATGCCACGGACTTGACCAGGGCTCTTGTGAGCCAAAGTTAGTTACCTTGATGAACATTTAGTTTTGCTCTCAAATTCTTTCTAGTGGAAGGATAGAAGCGAAGGGAACGAACAGTTGAAGCCACAGCGTCGCTCACTGATAGTAGGAGAAATTGACGCTGTCGATAGTTCGAGGACCAAAGTGACGATGAGTGATATATGAAGGAATATTGGGGTTGAGTACAAATATGACGTTGATTGATAGTTCAATGAATAATGTCCTAAGTAATAAATTAAGGACTAAATTAGCAAGTAAAGATAGTTAGATCACTGAACTGGCAATATTTAATAGTTAGATAACCAACTTAAACTACACTAATAGTTGGAGGGTCAGTCTAACTATTGTCAAAGATATAGGATGAAATTGGACACTTAGAAACATAGAGCACCAAATTGCCTGCAAAGATCGTGGAAGAACAATGAGGCGAGGACTAAAATAGCGAGTAAAGATAGATGGAAAAGCAAATAGGAAAATGAGAGAAAGATAAAGGACTAAATTAGATTTAAGGGAAAGATAGAGGACCAATATAAGGATACTAGTAGGTGAGGGGCAAACTATAGAGATCTAATAGTTTGGTGACTAATGAACTCAAATAATAGTTGGAGGGCCAATATAATGATAAATGAAAGATGGAGGACTACATTGGACTTAAGATAAAGTTAGAGGATTGAATAGCGGATAAAGATAGTTGGAGGGACAAATTGTCGAGACTTAATAGTTTGATGACTAACTTGAACTTAGCTAATAGATGGAGGGCCAATACGACTATGATTGAAAGATGAAAGACTAAATTGGACTTAACAGAAAGATGACTAACTTGAACTTAGCTAATAGATGGAGGGCCAATACGACAATGAGTGAAAGATGAAGGACAAAATTGTCCTTAAAAGTAAGATGGAGGAACAAAATAATGGGTAAAGATAGTTTGAGGGTAAACTGTCGTGTCTTAATAGTTGGATGACTAATTTGGACTAAACTAATAGACGAAGGTCAATTCAACTATGATTGAAAGATGAAGGACTTAATGGAAAGATGGGGGACTAAATTAGCTGGTAAAGATAGTTTGAGAGGCAAACTATCGAGTCGTTATAGTTGGATGACTAACTTGAACTGAACTAATAGATAGAGGGCCAGTACGAAAATGAGTGAAAGATGAAGGACTATATTGGCCTTAACAGAAAGATGGAGGACCAAAATAATGGTAAATATAGTTTGAGGGCAAACTACCGTGTCTTAGTAGTTGGATGACTAATTTGGACTAAACTAATAGATCGAGTGCCAATGTTGTGATGCTGAAAGATGAAGGACTAATTTGGACTTGATAGAAAGATGGAGTACCAAAATGGCAAACTATCGAGTCCAGTTAAATGAGTAACATGATCTGAACTAATAGATGGAGGTTCAATACGATGTTGAGTGAAAGATAAAGGAATAGTTTAGATTCAACAGAAAGTTAGAGGACCAAAATAGCGGGATAATGATAGTTGGAGGAGCGAACTGTCGATACTTGATAGCCCAAAGTACTCAGGCCCGGCCCATATTGGTTCACTTTCGGGAATCGCTGGGGATTCTCTCAATATCGCCATTGATTCCGTTACATTCTTCAGCACAGGCACATCGACTCTTTCTCTAGATAAGCACACCATGGCTACACAAGGACGGTCTTTTTTACAAGTGGCAGCAACGGAGGAGGCCGCCCCGCTCCTCAGAGTCGTTCAGATCGAAGGACTGGTACGCTGTAATTAGTTTTACTTTAGGATTATTTTCCAAAAAAAGAGAAGAAAAATCGAGGTCAAAATTGCTACCTGTTCACGACTTCAAAGAGCAAAAATTCCAAAAACGTGATTGCATATTGAAATTTAACGTTTAAGGAAATTGCTTCCGTTTGCTTATATTCTGTTAATTCTTTTTTGTTATAGATTGGGATTTTGGACTTCAAAACCTATCCATTTTGTTTCAGGTCTTATGACAGTGTGTTTCTTTCAAATTTAAAAATTTTCTAACTTAAGTTTCTTTGTTTAATTCATAGCTGAACTTATATCCTGGTTACAGGCCTTTGAGGCTTTGGGGCCCTATTTTACTTCTTGAGCTATTGTCTTTTGGGTAACTTCTAAAAGGAAATGACTAATGACAATATGTTTTTAAGTTTTTCTTAAGATTCTCTTTTATTAATTACTTTGTACAGGTTATTTTGAAGATAATAAAGCATTGCCAAGAATTTTCTCCAGCTTTGGTTACAGGACAACTGCTTGGGTTGGACGTTGGCAGTGTTCTTGAAGTTACTAATTGTTTTCCATTCCCGGTATACAAAATTCTGAGGCTTTTTCATTATTCAATCAATTATTATTATTTTTTATTTTTTTACTTTTTTTAGATCACAATAGGAAGCCATTGTTAGGGCTCCACTAACAAAAAATACAATTTTTTCAAAACTCATTTTTAACTGCACATTCTTCAATAAAATAATGCAATCGGAAAATCCAAAACTTTTCCTTTTTTTTTTAAACACATATTCTCTAAAAAATTATTATTTCAAAATACCTTTTTCCCAAAACCTCATCAAAATGGAGACCAAACAAGGGCAAAATTTGGACACTGTTCTGCCTTGTAATGGTTAAATATTATACTATAGATCCGGGAAGAAGATGAAGAGATTGAAGCAGAAGGTGCTAATTATCAGCTAGAAATGATGAGGTGCTTGAGAGAAGTTAATGTTGACAATAACACTGTTGGATGGTGAGTGGGTCTGCTCTTCCACCCATTTTATCCATATTTACCAATATATAAGCAGTTATTCTAAGAATCACAATATAAAAATAGTTCCTAATTCAACCATGCTCATGTTTTCTCTCTCTGAATATGTTTGCTAAAAATGACTGCAATATCCGTCATTTCGTGATCGGAAAGAACTTGCCTTGGGAGCCTGAGTGAGTTATAAATACAAAAATTCGAGATTAAGTTCAAAAATCCTTGTTTGTGATTCATGTGGCATTGGAGTCTTGAATTCATATATTTGGAAACTACTACGATCAGAGGTTGCTGGAGCGAATATAGCGGCTGAGTGGCATATGCATTGTGAAACTAATTGTGGGCAATCTGGCCACAGAATTTATCTTGAGAAGGGAACGAGAATTGGATATAAGAACAAGTTGAGTTAGTTTTTCACATCATGTGATGCAATTTATCTTGAGAAGGGAACGAGAATTGGATATAAGAACAAGTGGAGTTAGTTTTTCACATCATGTGATGCAATCCTATATTTGGTATTGACATGAGCATTTTAAGCCTGTTTGGTGGGAATTAAAATTAGAGTTTTAGTAGGTTTTGATAAAAATTAGTGAATTGTATGGTTGAAAAGTTGTAGTAAAATTAATTGTTGATTTTGACTTAAATTAAAATCTGAATTTTAATCGGTACCAATCAGGGATTGAATGTGCTGGGTGAAATCTTTTAGAGAATTTAGAGCAACTGAAGCTCTGAAATAAGGTCAATCGAGTGACTTCGATTTTCACTTGGTTAAATGTGGATAATAAACATGTATATGATGTACATAGGATTAATCTAATAATATACACGGTAAATTTTAGTAAACCACCAAGTGGGCATGGCAATGGTTAAGGACAACTTAAGTGGATAACAACTAAGGTAGTTGGGGCCATGGTTTAGTTAAGCCTTTTGAGGCTTATGGCTCGAATCCTGCCTCACGTGAGGCTTTTGGTAAATGCCTCTTAAGATTTTTGCGTTAAATTCCATTTTGAGTCTTATGCGTTGACTTTGTGAGGCTCACGCCTCAAGAAAGTCTCATTTAGACTTTTAGGTGTTAACCATTTGTCTTGTCTTCTCACCTTTAACTTTTTGGGCTATTTTTTAAATGAAAAATGCTTTATGGTTTTTTATTTTTATTTTCTATTTTCTTCCTATACACGAAAAGGCTTATGTTTTATTATAGGTTTTTGAAGGTGGTTTATAGTTTATTATGAGCATACTTTTCTATTATTATAATTTTTTTAATTTTTTAATTAGTTTGTCTTTAGGCTTATGCCTCAAAAGGCCTTGAAACTAGCGCCTCGATTCGAAGGTAAATTGTCTCGGTGCTTGATTAGCCTTTGCTAAACATTGGTTTGGGCATGTGTCGCATAGACTTGAAGAGGCTTCATCCATAAGGATGATGCAGTTTCTGTGGATTTAGTTAGAAGAGGGAAGGAATGGGAAGGGAAGACTAAAATTGTGGTTGCTGAGGCTCCAACTGGATCTTCTAGTGGATGTAATTATGAACCGAACACAGTGGTGAAAAAAGATCCATTTTGGCTATCCCAAAGTTACCGGGAGTAATGCTTGCTTTGTTTGATCTTCTTGTTTTTGTGTCGTCGAACAATTCTTTAAAACAAAAGATACATGCTCTAGCTAGTGGTCCATATTATATCTTCTGTTAGATTAACAGTGACATATCTTTTGCTTTAGTCAATGAAGTGCTTATTTTAACATACATTTTTTACTGTCTACATTATTCAACTCAACGAAACTTTCCCAGGTATCAATCAACATTATTCGGCTCTTTTCAAACAGTGGAACTCATAGAGACTTTCATGAACTATCAGGTAATTATCTCTGCCTTTGCTTTATCTTTTTCATTCTCTAGTACTTTTCTGGTCCAACCCTAGAAGGGAAAATCACACATGAAAAACTTCTCTTAGTAGTAGTGATATTAATTTTTGAAGGCAAGACTGAAATGCTTTTAATTAGATCTTTACTTTCCTTGGTGACCTCTCCATTTTGAGCTTCATGCCTTCTCCAGAGCTTTGGAGGCTTTTAAATTTTATTTTAGAACACAAAAGAAACCTAAACAATTTGTGTTTCTAAGTATCATTAATGTAGAAAACCTTGTGCAATGAAGAGCTTCTACTCTTGGCTTCCTAGCAAATGATCTCTAAAGACAATTTTGTAGTGATTTTTTAGGTCGTTGAATCATTAAATTTTTACTCTGTTCTTTCCTTATGTTTGATTACTAAAATTGCTTTTCTCCTTATTATTCGAATCATATCTAGAGATAAAACAGATGATTGTAGGCATGATCATCTAATGCATTTGAAAGCAAGGCTTTATACTTCAAGTCTTGGTTATATAGTGCACGCTCTTTAGTTGCTTGCCATGCTATTTGAGACATTCTGGGCTAGACTACATAATTTGGAACAGCCAATTGGCTCTAAACAATTTTTACCAAACTGACATTGAATGTAGCAGTACGATATGTTGCAATCTCACCATATTGTTAGTTTTTGCGTGCCTAACTTCTGTTATTTCTTCTGGTTGCAGGAGAATATTAGGCGATGTGTTTGTATTGTTTATGACCCATCAAGATCCAACCAAGGCGTCCTAGCTTTGAAGGCTTTGAAGCTTGCTGATTCATTCATGGATCTTTATAAAAATAATAACTTCACTGGAGAGAAGTATGCTTTACATTTCTGCTTTTTTGTCCTTTCAAAGATGGTTAAAAAGGATTCTTTTGTTTCTTTAGTTACCCTAGAGGATTATAACTAATTTTATTTTCTAATAAGGGTTTACTTATCAGGTTGAGGGAGAAGAATCTTTCATGGGTGGATATCTTTGAGGAGTTCCTGTATGTCACAGATAATCTCTTGTTCTCTTTAAAGCCATTCTAGTTTTCATTTTGACACTGTTACTTTTAAGATCTCTTCCTCTGTATACTGCATATCATGTAGCTAACTATATGTTTTTCTGATGCATCTTTTGCTTGAGTTACTTGAATATATACTTCCAAGTTCTCTCTTTGTAATTGAAATTTCAGAATAGGCTCCTTATTTTCTTCAAATGTAATCTGCAAAAGTTTGTACTTATTTAGAAATTACAATAACTGGAGCTTAATTTATTGACTCAACAATTAATGACCATTAATCCATCATTTTAGAAGGCAGTTTCTGTGATATGCATGACTTTAAGCTCCCTCCTCTTGAGGTAAATTTAAATTTGTGCTTAGGAACACATGGTACCTTGTCGTATTTGTTTTACTTTACCATGTTTTGACTTCTGCATGAATATTAGTTCCTGCTTTCTTTTAGTCCTCATATAGCCATGTAATGATGTAAGCATATGGGTATCCTGCATCATTTTGTTGATTCTATTTTGGTAGGAATGGTATGCAGTAGCATGATAATTTGTCTCTTACAGGAACTTTTAGAGGTGGCAGAATATTAGTAATTTAGTATACATGTTGGCGGTGTCTTTATTTTTTATTTTTATTTTTTGACAGATTAAGGTTTCAAATTCTGCTCTTATCAGTGCTTTTATGACTGAACTGGAGACTGATACTCCTGTCAAACAGGTAATCTTGTTTTTCCTTTTCTCTAAGCATACTTCTTGTTTAAAGTAAATTTGAGTACGAGTTATAATATATTTTCTGTCACGTGATAGTGTGACTATGATAGGTTGCAACTGTCCACCAATCCATTCTTAGAGAGGAATATGGAGTTTCTAATCGAATGCATGGATGATTTGTCAATGGAGCAACAAAAGGTCAGTCTTCGACAGGGCATAATTTGCTGAGCATGTGACATGACCCTTTTTCTTTTTCAGTTTCAATTCTATTATAGGAATCTTTCTCGTCAACAAGCTCAGCAGCAAGCCTGGCTTCAGAAAAGAAGGTAACTTTTACTTGGGCTCTTTTTCTTGTTGATGTTTTCAAGTTTTTTTCTTCCTCTTCATTTTTGTTTTTTTGTTTTTTTTTGGGTTGGTTGTGGTGTGATTTATTGATATGCAAACCAAAGGAGTGTCTTGGGTGGCTCAGAAGGTAGTCTAAAGTAGAATATTAGATGAAAAGAAAGAGTATCGTGGTGGGCAATTTTGAGATCTCAAGGAAACGGAGAACTGGTTGGTATGATGTGATACTGATAGAGGTTATTCTACTTGGTTTTCTGCATTTGGGAAAATGTAAAGGAAAGAGGGCAAAAAGTAAAAAAACGATGGGACCCTGTATAGCTGGACACATGGATTGTTACCAAGTTCATTCATATAATCAAGCTAAGAATGTGTTTTTCAATTCTTAAATAGAAGTGGTCAAGCTGGAAGGACTTTGTGCTGGAGCATGAACCAAAATTTGGTCTCTGAGTTAATATTTGGAGGGTACAAAGTTCTCTGAGTGAAAATGATCAATTGAGTTGCTACGGGACTTGAATATGAATTTCTTTGAACTGAAACTTATTCTCCATATGCATCAATATTATGTCATGTCTAGATATGTATATGAGTATATCTCCCCCCAGAAAATATATTTAGATGATAAAGAGATTTCTATTGAGGTTGCATGTCAATGTCATTCTTTAATTATTCTATGCTTCATTAACATGTCCTGTAGGACTGAAAACATGTCACGAAAAGCTGCTGGAGAAGAACCATTGCCCGAGGAGGATCCTTCAAACCCGGTTTTCAAGCCTATCCCCGAGCCTTCACGATTGGATAGTTTTCTCATAACGAATCAAATTTCCAACTACTGCAACCAAATTAACGGGTATATTTTATCCTCTTCCTTCTGTGCATGAATCTAATTTTATTCATAACTGGTGCTTGTCTATTCTAATAACTCTCTGTTTGAGCTCAAAACTTGATATAAGGGTGATTAAAAATTTATCTTGTTTCATGCCAACATTCCGTGAGTCTTGTGCAAGGCCTGCCATCTTAATGTTCTCTATCAGGATGTCAGACAGACTGGATTGGAAGTATGATTTTTGAAATTTTAGAATGATTATGATAAAACATTCTATTGATGCTCTTCACATCCCATTGTTGACGTATGGGTGTGGATCTGTACCACATATTTAGCCACTTCATTTTTACTTTTGATGAGAATAGTTACTCGTGTATACAGATGCCTATTAATCAAAACATCACTTCCTTTTTAAGCATGTTGCTACCCATTTCTTCATTGACATTCTTGTAAGTAGGATATACGCTCCTGTGCCAGGTTAAGATTACATAATTTATCCAATGTAATTGTTATAAATTGGTCTATACTTCAGAAATTGATATCATGTTATGTCGACTTATGGCATGCAGTGTTGCTGGACAAAGCTTTAGTAGACTATATCTGATGAAGGCTTTGCATGAGGATTGAGCAAGTGCTAGCAGAATGAAGTCTCACGTTTTTGGTAAAAATAAAAAATAAAAAATCGATGTTTTTGCTATATGGGTCTTCTTTATTTAACTTTTGGTTGATCCCTTGTGCTATTATCCAGACGCATATTAGCCATTAGATTGACAGGCATGAGAAGTCAGCATTTCCCGTAGTCATAGAATCGACTTTGGTTTGTAAAAGCAAGAATTGAAACTGTTTTATTACTTTGCATGACATTGTGTCACTTGGACCTGCATCGCGTCTCCCCCTTGACCCCACCTCATTAAGCGTGTTTCCCATAAAAATCCTTGAAGCCTGTGAATTCATTATTAGGGACAGATCCATGAAACAGTTGTAACTACTGATATTGCACTGCTATGGCTTTCCCTGATTCCAGCCTGACCCGATCATCTCCGGTGGCAAGAGAAACTGATATGAATCCGAGAGACCGGTCGTTTTGAACCAAGATTTTGAGGCCTCTTCTTTAGAGTTCAAAGTATTCAATCAGAATAACCGGATAATCCGGTCGTTCTGGGCCCATGTATAGTGATGTTTCCTGGATTCATGCCTGTGAGATGTATAATGTGAAAAGTGGCAGAAACTATGGACTAATGTGATTACTGTAATTTATCTTTGTTTATAAGGTTTGTCGACAAAAGATAAATTGTTTCCCTAATTTACTTTTAACTTTCAAATGAAATAGTTCTCTAGTACTAGAATTCAGAAGTACTTGTTCAAGATCTGTTTGTCCATTTCGTTTCGAGTTTTTGAAAAGGAAAATCAACATACAGTATAGAAACCTGGTGAAGTTTTATATGCGAAAGAATTAATTTTTTTCGTCATTTAGTTTATATAGATCAAGTCCAGTTATAAATAAAACAAAACGGTGATTTTGATGACAAATGATTCAATTAGAAAGACGAGTGAAAGAATTAAGTACAAAAGAAATAGTGAGATTTATTATTATTATTATTATTGCTAGATAATCAAGATAGCTATAGTAACATTCTTTTGAATGAAAAGTAAAAAATATAATTCACATAAATTTAATATAACAGACTAATCTGAAAAATTCGTTATTTACAAAAATTTTTATACGGTCTGATTCTTAGCGAAAGTTACACCTCTAACATCTGTAATGTATGGAAGTCAAATTGTACATTTCTCAAGTGAATAATTTTAATCAATCTTTAATTAGTAGCTCTTCCAAAATTGCCATGTTCAACATGTATGCTTCTAAGTGACGATTGTTGCTTCGTTAAAGAGCTGCCTAGTTAGCCATTTTCGATAAAGTTTTTGATTAAAAAAAAAATAGCAATTGTTGACGTCAGAAAATGATTAGGTCGATTTTTGTCAACTTAATTGATAATTAGTAGGAGGTAAATTGCTTCAATAGTCATAGAGAGGAGTTTTGGCATTGATTGGAGTAATTTGAAAATGTGTAGAAAGAGTTCGGTGTTTGGGGGGACAATTACATTCCTATTTATAGGCAAGAAACAAGCAACTTTGCTGTCCAAAGTCAAATCAGCTATAGTGATGATCTTAATACGCATGCCATTGAAGGAAAAACTGCTCCTATAGAAAGTACATAATGAAAATGTGCAACCATATAAGAAAAAAGCCCCAAGTATATGGATTGTTCATACAGGGGACTCATAGGTTCCTTATTGTAGCAGCGGACCCCGCATGTTTAAAAAAAAAAAAAAAAAAAAACAACGCACAGGACCCACCCATGTGTGTGCCCTGGCACTCCCCCGTGAAACTCCCCCCTGTATTTGAGGCATTTCTCACCATATAATAAGTATCATGTAGAGCAATAAAAAGACAATTAAACTCTCATCTTAATTAAACTAAAAATAAAGAATAAAGAAAATTGAAAGATATATATATATATATATATATATATATATATATTTTTTTTTTTTTTTTTTTCAATTCTCTCTCTAATCATATACAGAAATTTTCTATAGATGTTTTTATTTGTTTCACGGTTTCTATCTCAATGATATTTATAATCTCAATAACACGACAATAATAACTTACCTTGAAATTTCAAGTACACAACTGTTTTACTTACCCAATAAGCCTTTGACAGAGGCCATCCTGAGTATTATATCACTTAGGCTACCTTAAGATGGCACGATTGAAGATCAATTTGTTCAAGCATTTTGAAAATATTGAAAATATCATTTTATTCAAAGCAAATTTCATCAAATACTGTTTGTCGAATATATTCTTAAATTTCAGGAATTTACAAATATTTTCTGGTTGGACTTTCCAACATGCATATAAAGGAATTGATGGAATGTGACTTGACATGTGAGTTGGCATTTCATTTGAGCCAAAC